AAATATATGAATTTCTGTATTTTTTTTGATAAAAAATATGCTCTAAAAGTTGAAAAAAATTGGTTCTTTGGCTCCTTGTTTAATTATAGTTCTCTATTAAACCTCACCATATATATATATATATATATATATATATATATATATATATATATATATATATATATATATATATATATATATATATATAAAGAGAGAGAGAGAGAGTGAGAGAGAGAGAGAGAGGTGGGTTCAATTGAGAAAATATAAAAGGTTGAGAATGGGGGAATCATTCTCATCCACTCATTTAATTAGCCTCTATACATAAAGGATACGGTGACAAACTTGTAAATATGATATAATAGTTTTCAATTACAAATACGAACATTTGAAATTCATTCGGCTTTTGCTATTTCAATCCAACCTTCAATTCTGTTTGAATACGAATATATCTTCAACATCTACGATTAATTATACTCTCAGCATCATTAGAACAACATCATCGATAATCAACAAAAAATTCAATTCTTATCATTCATTCAACACCGTTCATCAAATAAAACATCGATATTAAGGTTAGCAAAAGATCAAATCATTTTTTGTTTGAAATTTTCATATATTTCTCTACCAATCTACTATTTTGTAAGATTTAGTAGTCAAAGTATCATATTTATCACATTTTTAAAAAAAAGTTAACTTGTATGCATTCCAACTGTTTGATCAAATGCATAAACTAAATTACCACGCTATATTCATATATGAATATGTTTTCTTACCTGAATCAATATGTGATTATTAAAATACAAAACAAATATGCAAGTCTATATGTTATTCATATGTAAATAACATATAAAAATTAGATATATTTCTGAAAACACATTGTAATATTCATATATGAATATACTATGCAATATGCACATATGAATATACCAACTATTATTCATAAGTGAATATACGATCTAGTATTCACAAGTGAATATACTATGTACTATTCTCATGTGATATACCATGTAATACTATATAATATTCACATATGAAAATATCATATAATATTATAAGTGAATATAGCATCTAACATTCACAAGTGAATATATTATGTAATATTCACAAGTGAATGGATCGTTTAATATTTAAATATTAATATACTATGTTTAGTATATGTTATATTCATATATGAATAATACTTAAGTTGTAAAAAAAATAATCATAGTTTTTATTCATAAGTGAATAAAGAATGTACTGTAGTAAAAACCAGATTCATTTTTATTCACTTATGAATAACGATAGCTGAAAATATAAAAAAAATAAATTTTTTATTTTATCTTAAAACTATATCAATATGGATGTTTATTTGTAGAGAATAAAAAATCTTGAATTTTGGTATATTTAAAATCATTTTTCGATAAAAATAGCTTCTTAAAAACAAAAACAAAAACCAAAAAAAAACTATATTTTTGTATATATTAAAGTAATGTTTAGCATAGTTTAAGGAAACATGTTTTGTTGGAAAACACATGTGCACTGGCTGAGAATGATTCACCCATTCTCAACCTTTTTTTATTATCAATTGAACCCTCGTGTGTATATATATATATATATATATATATATAAGTCACCTTATTTAGAAAGAATAGTAAATGAGATATCATGATTAGTTTTGATATATATGGATAAAAAATACATAATTCAATATATAAGCTTTATTTATATAATAGCCATATTATATATATTATATATATATATATATATAATATATATATATATATATATATATATATATATATATATATATATTATAGGGTTAGGTTCATGTGAGACGGCCTAATTTTGTGAGACCGTGAGACGCACTTTTTTTTTTTTTTTTTTTTTAGTTAATTCAAGTTCCGAAAATAATATTTAAAAAAAGAATTTTTTGATTTTTCCATTTGTTTTGCATTTTAAAATTATTTTTACAATATGTACAGTGTAATATTCTATTTAGAATATTTGACGTATTTTTAAAAAAAAAAATAGATTTTTTTTAAATTTTTTTTAGTTAATTCAAGTTCCGAAATAATATTTAAAAAAAGAATTTTTTTTATTTTTCTATTTATTTTGCATTTTAAAATTATTTTTACAATATGTACAGTGTAATATTCTATTTAGAATATTTGACGTATTTTAAAAAAAAATAGAATTTTTTTTAATTTTTTTTAGTTAATTCAAGTTCCAAAAATAATATTTAAAAAAAAGAATTTTTTGATTTTTCCATTTATTTTTCATTTTAAAATTATTTTTTAGAATATGTCAGTGTAATATTCTATTTAGAATATTTCACGTATTTTTTAAAAAAAAACGGAATTTTTTTAAAATTTTTTTTAGTTAATTCAAAGTTCCGAAAATAATATTTAAAAAAAGAATTTTTGGATTTTTCTATTTATTTTGCATTTTAAAATTATTTTTAGATTTTGTCTCACGGTCTCAAAAAATTAAAATAGTCTCAAATGAACCTGAACATATATATATATATATATATATATATATATATAATATATATATATTATATATATATATATATATATATATATATATAGGGTTAGGTTCATTTGAGACCACCTATATTTTGTGAGACCGTGAGACGCATTTTTTTTATTTTTTTTTATTTTTTTTATATTTTTTTTTTTTTTTTTTAGTTAATTCATGTTCCAAAAATAATATTTAAAAAAAAGAATTTTTTGATTTTTCCATTTATTTTGCATTTTAAAATTATTTTTAGAATATGTACAGTGTAATATTTTATTTAGAATATTTCACGTATTTTTCAAAAAAAATAGAATTTTATTTTTTTTTTATTATTTTTTTTAGTTAATTCAAGTTCCGAAAATAATATTTAAAAAATAATTTTTAGATTTTTTCATTTATTTTGCATTTTAAAATTATTTTTTAGAATATGTCAGTGTAATATTCTATTTACAATATTTCACGTATTTTAAAAAAAAACGGAATTTTTTTTATTTATTTTTATTTTTTTATATATATATTTTTTTTTTTTTAGTTAATTCAAGTTCCGAAAATAATATTAAAAAAAAGAATTTTTGGATTTTTCCATTTATTTTGGATTTAAAAATTATTTTTAGATTTGGTCTCACGGTCTCACAAAATTAGAATGGTCTCAAATGAATCTGAACTTATATATATATATATATATATATATATATATATATATATTATATATATATATATATATATATATATATATATATATATATATATATATATATATTATCCTATTAAATGATTATCTTGAAAATAAAATATCACTATCAACTAATTGGCTAACAAGAATTAAATTTAAACTTTATATCACATTAAACGTAGGATTTAAAAAATCATTATTGAAACAGACGTTGTATAATATTATAGTCGTTAATCTTTATGTATCATGTGACGCCCTCTAATATGATCTCGTGCTTAGATTCCCAAAAATGGACACACTTGTAAGATAATTTAAGTAAAATTATACCCATACTCTATAACATGCATGATGAAGTATACCAAAATCCAAATCATATTCTCCACATACCCTCTTGTCACGCGACATCACGTGATCCCCCCCCCCCCCCCCCCCCCTTACAGTCTTTTTTTATTATTTCTTTTAACAATATTAATTCATAGTTGAAAAAAAAAATCGAATCTTCAGCTAATTTTAATAATCGTATTAAAGAAACAGATCAAAAGAAGTGACTGTTACTTCATAACAATTTATTCTTTGGAAGTTGGAACGTATGAATATATGTCAAATTATGTGTTATAAAGTATATTTATTTTTGAGAAATTAAATTACATTCTACATTATGCTTACTATTATTCATATCCATTAAAATTATCATAAATCAACACTTAATTTTATTTTATTCGATATATTTTTAATATAATCTTAACGAGTTAGTTAAAAAAATATGAACGATGATATTTGTCATAATTTTATTGGGTAACAACATTTATAAGCATAAAAAATAGAAATAATTTAATATCTTTTTATTTTTTTAAGTATTTATATTTTGAAAAATGTATGATCAAAATGAATACCCTACAGTCTCAGCTTATAAACGTATAAGATAGATGATTGAATCGTTGTTTAAAAAGTATGTTATTTGGTATTTGATATAATATATTATTAATGTGATAATTTAGATTATAATTTTTAGACAAAATTGCAAAAATGGTCCCTGTAGTATGCATTTTTTGGGGTTTCAGTCTAAACCTCGATTTTTTTGGATTCATGGTCATTTTGGTCTAGTTTGTACGCAAAATTTGTCCCCCGACTTAACTGTCGTTAAGTTTTTGTTGTTAACGTCCTCATGTGCATCTCACATGAGGGTATATTTGTCTTTTCACTTATAAATGACCATTTTTGCACCCAATTTTTTTTAAAAGTAATACTTTTTTATTTATTTTAATAATGAAAAAATAAAACTCTCTCTCTCTCCCCCCCCCCCCCCCTCTCTCTCTCTCAAAAGCACACAGACCCAGATGACGTTATGATGTTATTCCTCATCTTCATATACAAATCAGTTTTCACATTCATATACAAAGAGATGTAATAGTGCTTCTGTTTACATAAAACGTCTGCATAAAGATTTCTTAGCTGCCTAAGTTCAAAACTAAACACCATGCCCACTATCAACTTCACTATGAAGTATCTACTAGAAGACCATGTGCAATCCAATTTCAATCACGAAGCAAAACTTATCTCAATAACCTTGCTCATGAGTTGAGATATCAACCAATGCCTGCATATGCTTCCAACTTATCTCCTCTCTTGTCTCCCCATTTGCAGCCTTCCAAGCCCTAAAAACGATGTCAACATATGCCTCCAACATCGACTTCCTCCCGAAAGGAATTTGATACCTAATCATTGCTAGTGATTCCTTCACAAGTTGTCAAGATAACCTAAATAAGAATGTTAAAATCATCTTTCTTGACCCATTTTCAAATACAATGGGGATATTAAGCATCTGATGAGCATTAATTTCAAGTCCTATATACTCTCATCCTCAAAATCGAACAACATGAATGCTTCACGAAGAGCAAACACTCTATGAACATTCACTTTGTTCTTCAAAGCAGAGAAAAAGGCGACCGAATCAGAAATTTATCAAGGATCGAACCCTCGATTTGGAAGAATCAGAAGAAATCAATAGAATGAGAACAAATTGACAATCAATCGATAACAATCAGCAAAGTAGAAATCGATTTTGATTTTGTGAAATTAACCCAATCGATAACCAACATCTTGCTGTTAAAATAAAGTACCCACTTGCGGAAGACGACGACGCGGAGGATGAATCCGACAACATCAACGTCGGTGGAACGGCGAACGAAGTGCTTGAGCGGGGGAAGAGGTGGCTGAAGAATGTGATGGTCGATGGTCTCGTTTCAACGACTGGTTGAGGAAGAAGATGGAGTGTAAATGCATATGGGTAACAGAGGGCAAAGTTGTTTATATGAAAAACACTTGACTGAATTTAAAGTATTCAAAGATTCAAATGTAGGGAATTTTCGTAGAATCTGAAGGTTGAGTGTAATTTCTTCATATTGGGTTTTCGATTGATTAAACTTCTATGAGTGTTCGCAGGTGATGTGGTTTGAGCTAGCTGAAGTGGTGAAGAAATGAAGCTGGAGCAGCACCTGGTGAGATCGATTCCCAATTGTGGGGAAGGTTGTGGAGAGAGAGAGAGAGAGAGAGAGAGAGAGATCTTTTATTTTTTCGTTATTAAAATAAATAAAAAGGTATTACTTTTTAAAAGTGCAAAAATGGTCCTTTATAAGTGAAAAGACAAATATACCCTCGTGTGAGATGCACATGAGGAGGTTAACAACAAAAACTTAACGACAGTTAAGTCGAGCGACCAATTTTGCGTACAAACTAGGCCAAAAGGACCATGAATCCAAAAAAGTCGAGGTTTGGACTGAAACCCCAAAAAAATGCATACCACAGGGACCATTTTTGCAATTTTGTCTAATTTTTTATGTAAAATGTCAAAAAAAAGACTATAGTTTTGTTTAGAGGGAAGTATGTAATATTTTTGGCCAATCAGATTTGTTCAAATGACAAGGATTTTATCAAATGAGACATTTTGTGTCGACAAAATTGCAAAAATGGTCCCTGTGGTTGGCAAAATTATGTAGTTTTGGTCCAAAACGAAATGTTGGTGCACCACTGGTCCAATTTTAAATATCTTGTGTGGTTTTAGTCCATATGGTTGTATTTTCTTGTGTTTTTGGTCAACATGCCACCTAAAATGACTAATATGCCCCTTAAATAATTATATTTTAACTTCTTTTATTTATTTTCTTATTCTTATAATAAAATGAAAATAAAAACAAAATAAACCCACCACTCACACACACATACTCTCTGTCTCTCTATAAACAAAAGGAAACGTGTTCTTCTTCCTCAAATAAAGTTCTCAAATGAAACACCCAAACACCCTAAAAATTTTGAGGTTGTTCTTCACTCACCTTTGATCACCTGTAAAGAACACACACCATTAGAGTGGCTGATTACTTGTGAAATCAAGAAAATGGCACCATTTTCCCCATTTCCATTGCTGTTAATTAAAACAAAACTGGAAAAAAATTTCTTACATTTTTTCCTTGATTTTCGGTATGTTTCTTTCTCCTCTGTCATGAACATCGGTCGTAGTGGTGCTTCGGTGAGCCATCGAGACAACAGCCTCACCTCTCCTATATATCTTTTTCTCCTGTCAAAATAAACGCCATCGAACCACGTGTGACGTCATGCTTCTCGTCTGAACTCTTTTCTGGCCTCCTTCCCATTGAAACCCCTAGCCACACCGAGAGGCGGCGATTGCTCTTCCTCGATGAAAGATAAGAGGCAACGACCTCTTGTGTTGCTCGCCCCTACTTGCGAATTCGCCCACTGGACCATCGATCGACATTGGGGCTATTCCCATTCGTATTTATTTTTCTCCATCGGACGAGGATCGAACTCCTCTTCCTCCCAATCGATTCTGCCTTCGTTCTTCTCTTCGTGGTCCATTCATCCGCACTCGTTCATTTGCGTCCAATGATTTCTTGGTGGAGATGAAAGTGTTTGCAGGTGGTGATGGCGAACAGTGGTGAGACTCGTTTATTTGTGTGTGTTTAAGAAAATGAAGTTAAAGAACCCAGATGAAGATTTAGTTATAGAGAAAGAAAGAGAGAGAGAGAGAGAGAGAGAGAGAGATGTGTGTCTGTGTGTAAGAGAGAGTGAACGGGATGGTGGTGAGTTTTTTTTTTCATTTTGAATAAAAATAGATACTAAAAAATGGAAAAAAAATTATAAGGACATAATGGTCTTTTTAAGTAGATAGAGATCAAAAACAATAGAAATATCCAATTTTGGACCAGTGGTGCACCAACATTTCGTTTTGGACCAAACTACAATATTTTGCCAACCACAGGGACGATTTTTGCAATTTTGTCTTTTGTGTCTAGATGAAATTCAAAAGAGCTTTTAGTTAAAGTTTAAAAATATTTTGTGAGCGCAATACACTTCTAGATTACAAAATACAGTTACTCTAAAAACACATAAGGCTATGTGCAGTGGTCACTACAAACTCACCGGAAAAGTGGTGTCACCTCTGCGCCACGTCACCTTCACCACCAACCCACTCCACTATGGAAATGATCACCACTAACAACATTTACCTTTTTATTATTATTATTATTTTAACATTTTGTTAAATAAATAACATAATTTTTAAAATAGATAAGGTTGCGTTTAGTTACGGAAAAACAGTTTTCATTTTCCGTTTTTTGTTTTCCCTTTTCGATTTTCGTTTTCCGTTTTCATTTTTCATTGAAAAATTTAGAAAACGTGTTTAGTTAAACTTATTCATTTTTCATTTTCAGTTTTAGAAAATTATAAAACGTGTTTAGATGTGTCTTTTTCTATCGGTTTTCATTTTTAAAAAACGGTAGCGGTGATAAGGTGTGGGCGGGGGCGGTGATGGTAGTGGGTCGGCGGCGGTGGTGGTGATGACAGGCGATGGTGGTGGCGGCGACAATTGTGTCAGTGGTGATGATGACAGGCGGCAGCGGTGGTGGTGGTGCTAGTGACGGGTTAGTGGTGGTGGTGGTGGTGATGGTAGGTCGGTGATTGCCGTGATGGTGTTGGGTGGTTGGGGATGCGAGTGTGTGTTTGTGTGTGTTTGTGGGGGTATGTATGTATGTGTGTGTGTGTTTGTGGGTGGGTGTGGGCGGGTATGTATGTGTGTGTGTGTGTGTGGGTTGGTGTGTGTGTATGGGTGGGTATGTATGTGTGTGTGTTTGTGGGTTGGTATGTGTATGTGTGAGGGTGGGTGTGTGTGTGAGGATGGGTATGTATGTGTATGTGTGTGTGTTTGTGGGTGGGTGGGTGTGTGTGTGTGGGGGTGGGTATGTATGTGTGGGTGGGTGTGTGTGTGTGGGTGGGTGGGTACGTATGTGTATGTGTGTGGGTTGGTGTGTGTGTGTGCGGGTTGGGGTGTGTGTGTGTGTGTGTGTGGGCATGTATGTATGTGTGTGTGTTTGTGGGTGTGTGTGTGTGGTTGGGTATGTATGTGTGTGTGTGGGTTGGTGTGTGTGTATGTGTGAGTGGGTACGTATGTGCGTGTGTTTGTGGGTTGGTGTGTGTGTGTGTGTGTGCGGATGGGTGTGTGTGTGTGTGTGTGCGGGTGGGTGTGTGTGGGGGGTAGGTAGAGGTGAATGGGGTGGAGTGGGTGTGTGTTTATAGAAAAATTTTGGAATTAGAAAAATGTGGAAAACAATGATTATCAGTTTTCCAAAATTTTCCAACTTCTTTGTAATTTTAGAAAACGGAAAATTTTCATTTTCCGTGAAAAATTTAGAAAAATAGACGAACTAAACGCATTTTCAAAATTCTTATTTTTCTTGGAAAATTTTTCCGGAAAACGGCCCATTTTTCCACAACTAAACGCACCCTAAGTTTTTATATTTTTTGTAACACTATATGAAATAAAAAACATAATTTATAAGATAAATAAATTTTTTGAAAATACCAAAAAAAAAAAACTTTTCATTGATTAAAAACATAGAAATTTAAAACCTAAAATTACTAAAACACACATAAAACCTAATTGTCATCAGACAATAGTGTGTACAAAACCAAATTGTGAAGTTTCGCCTCTCTGGCGAATCACGTCTTGTGCCGCAGACAATAGTGTGTGCAAAACCAAATTGTCATCAGAATCGCTATCCATTTTTTGGTTGAATTTGTATGTTTGATTTGAGAGAATTTGTATGAATGTTTTAAAAAAATTATGTATAAGTGGATGTATATATAGATCGAGAAAATAAATTAAAGGAAAAAGATTTTTTTTTATTTAATAACCCAATGGTTGAAAAATTAAATATCCAATCAATGTATGCGTCTTCGTCCGTCCTGGGAGCCACGCTACAACCAACCCACTGAACCCAGGGGTGGTGTTCACGTATGGAGAGACCCTCCACGTAAACATTTCACACGTGGAGATCTCTCCATTCTTGATAGCCTAAAAACATTTCGTGTATTATTTATTTTTATTTTTTTGACAAAAAGCAAACCCTAGGGTTCGCATATACTAGCGGACTTTCGTTATTTATAACTCGTTCAAAAAACTATTTTATTATAAATCGACTCAACTATCTTCTTTATGACATTTAATACTCATATTTATGAAATAGATTAAATTTTATGTATTATAAATCGAAAACTTCTTTTGTTTAAAATGTACAACTTTATTATATTCTTTGTTACTATTTATTTTCTCATATTTAATTTTTGCCCCGTGTCGGCTCTTTTATTCAATTTTCATGAATTGAATTCAAATGATTAATTTGACAATTTATACGAGTTTTGTTTTTATTACGGTGTTAATATTTCTTTCGAGAAAGGACAATTTACTATGGATGATAATAAACTACTTTTATGATTTATTTTTTAGTTTTATGCGGAAAATTTCTCATTATTTTGAGTAATTTTAATAAAGTCTTAAAAGTTTATTTTTTTTCAATAGAAAAATCCTAATTATTTAATATTTTATCTAAATTAATGAAAAAATCATTTTTTTATTTTAACAGGAAATGACAGATTATATAAATTTCCTAAGATAATGAAATTTAATTTCCTATTAAAAAACTTTTAAAACTTTATTAAATTTTTTACAAAAATAATGGGACTTCTCCAAATAAAACCCTTTATTTATACATAAACTTAAGTTTGTTGATTTTCTTAAAGGGATAAGGACTTGAAATGGTAATATATTTTTTGATTTGTACACATTTAGTCACTGATTTTTTTTCGTCCACATTTACCCCTACAACTTGTTAAACTGTACACATTCAGTCCTTATGACCGGCTACTCCAGGTTAGCCGATAAAAATGACTTAATAGGGTAATATATTTTTCACTTTATATACATTTAGTCCTTAATATTTTTGTATACATGTAGTCATTAATATTTTTTTTGTTGCAAAATAACTCATTTTTGTTTTTGTACTCATTCAGTACTTATAAATGATTTCTTTAGGTTTTTCTCACAACTCTTACGTGGGATAGCCATATGGTGGCAGGGTAGGTTGAGGTGGTCCTGCTATGTTGTAGGTCAAGATACCTGGCGTAGACCGACTGTAAGTTGTATGCACGAAGGCTTGAGAAGAGCGGTTGGGTTAAGGGGGCATGCCGACAAACCGTGGGTATTCCAGTCCGATGACTGATGGACCTGTTGTGTGTTGGCATTCCAGTCGGATGACTGATTGGGCCAAGGTATTCCAATCTGATGAATGTAGCCCCGTAATGCATGATAATACGTTTGTTGTATCGGGTATTTTCGGGGAAACTCACTAAAATTTATGATTACCCAGATGTTTATGTTTTCAGGTTCTATCATTGACCGTGGGAAGGCGAAGACATGACTGTACACACTCATCAACAGTATTGAGGATTCTGCATTTCTTATATTACTCTGATTTTCAATAAATTTTAGAATAAACATTTTTTCTTAATAATGGATTTATAATTAGAGAGTTTTGCCTTACTTAAAAACGAAAATTTTTGGTTGTGAAAATGAAACGTTACACATAAACATCAACAACCGCACACACTTCGTCAATGATTGTCCCACGTAACATGTCGTGACAAAAACCTAAAAAATCATTTATAAGTACTCAATGCGTACAAAAACAAAAATGAGTTATTTTGCAACAAAAAAATATTAAGGAGTAAATGTGTACAAAAATATTAATGATTAAATGTGTACAAAGTGAAAAATATATTACCCTCATTTTTACCAGCTAACCTAGAGTAGTCGGTCATAAGGACTAAATGTGTATATTTTAACAAGTTGAATGGGTAAATATGGACAAAAAAAAGTCAGTGACCATATGTGTACAAATTAAAAAATATATTACCCTTTCAAGTCATTATCCCTTTCTTAAACCGGTGTATCAATCATATATGTTGGTAAATAATATTTTAAGTTAAAATTTGTACATATTTTGTAGATCATGATCATTATCGTATCACACTTGATATGATTCAATTTTATTTTATCTATTTTAATAAATAAAAATCATTTTATTATATTTAACCCTCTCATTATATTTGTAACATGTAATTTCATGGTTATTATAAATTAAATTTTTTCCACAAATCATTTTATGGTTTTTTTTTCTATTTTATTGAATTCTAAATTGTATTTAAATGTAATAATTGTAATGAATGTAATAATAAAAACATATCAATTTCATTAATAAAAATTTCTCGAAATTTAAATTAAACCTCAGTTATTTTGTTGTTTATTTATTTAAATTTAAAAGATAAATTAACATTTCAATTTTAATAATTTAATATGTTTCTCACTTTTATTATAAAGTCAAACTCCTAAATATTTTGACATTCATGCTTAA